ATTAGTACCCTTAAGAGGTGCAGCCTATTTAGTGATGTACCTTATTTAATATTATTCAATATCAAACAACAATGGTATTGGTGTATGTGCATGTGCCCACACTAATACACATGTTGCTATTGACTTGCATATACACACTCAGTAGATGGAAATGTATAAAAGCATAAATAAATAATGAATCCATTTAAATAAAATCACATACTTTGATTATTTTCTACCTCTTTCCCTCAATTTTTTTGTATTGAACCAGCTAGGTTACATGGAATCTGCCAGTGTATACTTCATCATTATACTTGTCTTTTCTGTTCTTCAAACTACCTGTACCTCTATATTGTAATGAAAAGTTTTTAACAGCACAAAAGTAATACATTATTATAAAAAAGATAGAGCAAAAGAAAAAGTTTCTCCTTTCTGCCTTCATTTTCACTCCCTTTCTGGAATAATCACTCCACATGTGTAACTACCACAAAGATCCAATCCCACAGGTTTTATTCTGGGTCTCTTTTCTTCAGCCATAGCAGCCTTTTTGCTATTCCTCAAATATGCCAAACACACTTCTGACTTGGGGAATTTTGCACTTCCTTGTTCCTCTTTTATAACATTCTTCTTGATGTTTTGTGCTTTCATCTCACTCAGATATTTGTTTAAACATTTATTCATTCCTGAACACCACATATAAAATAACATTTCCTATCCATAACTCTTTAACCAGTTTGATGTTTATAGTATTTATCACCAGTTGACACTGACACTCCAAAACACACTTTTGTAGAAGTGCATGTTTGTGCACATGTGTGCTTAATGGTTTAAAACAACAAATTTATTATCTTAGAGATCTAAAATCCAGAAATCAGAAATAAATGTCAGTGAACTTAACTCAGATGTTGGCAAGACCATTTTTTTCCCTGGACATTCTAGGGACAATACATTTCTTTGCCTTCTCCAGTTTCTAGAGACTATCTGAATTCCTTGGCTGATGGACATTTTCCATGTTCAAAGCTAGCGATCACATGAACACTGACTCTTCTACTCCCTTTTTTCACGTTTACAGTAGCCTTTTGATTACACTGAATTCACTAGACCAAGTCAAGTCAATCTCTTTATCTTAAGGTCATCTGTTTGTCAACCTTAATTCCATGTACAATTTTAATACCCCTTGCCGTGTTACCTAACATATTCACAAGTTCTGGAGATTAGGACCTGGGTGTCTTTAGGGGTCATTGCTCTACCAAAGGTTATATTATATATAATATTACATATATATATTCTCCATGTATATGAATAATACACATATAAATTTTATACATATGTTTGCCATATATACACACATATATAGTTTGATATATATAAATATATGCATATACATATATAGTTTATATATGTATATCTGTATGCATATATGTTTACTATGTATACATGAATATATAGTATATATAATATACTATATAAACTATTATATAAACCCAAATTGTGTGTGTGCATGTGTATATATATACTTTATGGTATAGAGAGATAGATGATAAATTATATGTATATATAATATATATTGTATATATTTATCACCTGTCTCTCTGTACCATAAATTAAGCTTCACGAAAATGTAGGTGTTTGATTCACTCTTCTCTGTGTCAAATATCAGTGCTCAGTGTATATAAACTGAATGACTGATGCAAGAGGTGAGTCCCTCAGTCTTGAGCAGCTCCATCCCTATGGCTTTGTAGGGTACAGCCCTCATCCTGGCTGCTTTCATGAGCTGGCATTAGGTGTCTGTGGCTTCTTCGTGTGTATAGTGCTATTCACAGTGTCAGTGGATCTACCATTCTGGGGCCTGGAGGATGGTGGCCCTCTTCTCACAGCTCCACTAGGCAGCGCTCCAGTGGAGACACTTTGTTGGAGTTTTCACCCCATATTTCCCTTCTGACTGGAAAAGCAAAAGTTCTCCATGAGGGCTCTGCCCTTGAAGCACACCTCTTCCTGGACATCCAAGTGTTTCCATATCCCCATCTGAAATCTAGGTGGGGATTCCCAAACTTCAATTCTTGTCTTCTGTGCACCTGTAGGCTCAACACCATGTGGAAGCTGCCAAGACGTGGAGCTTTTACCCTCTGAATCCACTGTCCAAGCTGTACCTTGGCCCCTTTTAGCCATGGCTGGAGTGGCTAGAATGCAGGGCACCAAGTCACAAGACTGCATACAGCAGAGGGGCCATGGACCAGGCCCAAGGAACCATTTTTTCCTTCTAGGCCTCCAGACCTGTGATGGGTGTGGCCAAAGCAAAGGTCTTTGACATGCCCTGGAGACATTTTCCCCATTGTCTTGGCAATTACCATTTGTCTCCTCATTACTTATGCAAATTTCTCCCCAGAAAATGGGGTTTTCTTTCCTATTGCATTGCCAGGCTGCAAATTTTTTACAATTTTATGCTCTGCTTCCTCAAATACTTTGCTGCTTAGAAATGTCTTCCAGCAGATACCCTAAATCATCTCTCTCAAGTTCAAACTTTCACAGATCTCTAGGGCAGGGCCAAATTCTGCCAGTCTCTTTGCTACAGCATAACAAGAATCACCTTTGCTCTAGCTCCCAACAAGTTTCTCATCTTTATCTGAGGCCACCACTTCAGCCTGGACTTTATTATCCACATCAGTATCAGTGTTTTGATGAAAGCCATTCAACAAGTCTCTAGGAAGTCCCAAACTGCCTCACATCTTCCTGTCTTCTGAGTCCTCCAATTCTCTAGGAAGTTCCAAACTTTCCCACATTTTCCTATCTTCTTCTGAGTCCTCCACACTGTTCCAACTCTGCCCATTACCCAGTTCTAAAGCTGCTTCCACATTATCAGGTATCTTATAGCAATGCCCCACTACCTCAGTACCAATTTACTGTATTATTTCTTTCTCATGCTGCTATGAAGAAATATTGAAGACTATGCAATGTATAAATATAAAAGGTTTAACAGACTCACAATTTCAAATGGCTAGGGAGGTCTTACAATCATGGTGAAAGGCTAAGGAGGAGCAAAGGTATATCTTACATGGCAGCAGCAAAAGAATGTGTGCAGGAGAACTCACCTTTATAAAATCATCAGATTTTGTGAGACTTATTCACTGTCATAAGAATAGCATAGGAAAAACCCATCCCCGTGGTACAATTAGCTCTCACTGGGTCCCTCTCATGACATATGGGGATTATGGAAGCTCCAATTTAAGATGAGGTTTGAGTGGGGACACAGCCAAAACATATCACTATTACAAATGATATCTTATTTTCAAATTAGGTTTATGTGATGGATTATATAAATTGATTTTCATATGTTGAACCAGCTATGCATACCTGAAATAAATCCCATTTGATCATAGTATTTAATTCTTTTCATAGTTTATGTATTATTGGATTTTTTTTACTAATATTTATTGAAGATTTTTACATCTATGTTTATGAGTGATATAGGTCTACAATTTTTGTTATTGTAATGTCTTTAATTTTAGTATCAGGGTAATGCTGGCCTTGTGGAATAAGATAGAAAGTATTTGCAATGTTTTCATCCTGTGAAGAAGGTTATGTAGAATTGGTATAACATCTTTCTTAAATGTTTGGTTGAATTCACCAGTGAAACTATCTGGACCTCATTTTTTCTGTTTTGGAAGGCTATTACTTGACAATTTAATTTCTTAAACAGATAGAGGTCTCTTCATTAATTTTTTCTTGTAAGAGTTTGAGTAGATGGTTTATTTTGAGGAATTGGTCGATTTAGTATAGGTTATTATAACTGCAGCTCATAGTAATTCATTATTATCCCTTTAATGTCTGTGGGGTCTGTAGTTGTATCCCCTCTGTTATTTCTGATATTAGTAATTAGTATTCTCTCTCTCTCTTTTTTTTTTTTTTCCTTAGTTAACCTGGTTAGAGGCCTATCAATTTTATGGATCTTTTTAAAGAATCAGTCTTTGGTTATGTATATATTATCTATTAAATTCCTGTTTTTAAAAGTCATTGGCTTGTGTTTCAATTTTTATTATTAACTTTCTTCTTGCTTTGAGTTTCATTTGCTGCTCTTTTTCAAGTTTCCTAAGGTAGAAACTTAAATGCTGATTTTAGATCTTTCTTCTTTTCTCATATATGCATTCTGATGCACATTTAATTTTCTGTGTTCTGAGGGATAAGCCCAACCTGCTTCTCTATTTCTGTGGCTACTTGGATACAGGCAAGACAGATAACAGTTCTTGGGCAGAGAGAGAGGGTGAGAATCTCTTATTTCTCTTGTTATTGCGGTATGAATTCATCATGAGAACTCTACTCTCGTGACCAAGTACCCCTAAAAGGCTCCATCTCCAATTATCATCACACTAGAAATTTGGGTTTTACTATATGAATTTGGGATGAACACAAACATACAGTTCAAAGTGGGTAATATTTTAATAGAGCCAAAGGAATTGCTTATGGATGTAGATGTGAGCTTTAAGAGGAAGGATGAATCAATAAATTTTTAAAAAATGAAATTGGGAATTAAAACATCAACAACCACTATATCACACTGATACGGTCACTTGTGTTGGTCGTAAAATTCCTCTTTGCCTCCACAAAGTTCCATTTCTTAGCTGGCTTCCTGGAAGTGCTTTCTTTGAGAATGTACTGCCTGCCATTCCCCTCACAGTTAGCCTATGCTATTCACGTGGAAATAAAGAATAGCTCACCATCATGGTCATCTGAGAACAGTGTCTAGCTTCCTGTAAATCAGTTAAATGACATTAGTTTTAAAATAACAACCTTAACTACACTCCTCTAACTAATGTAACTAAGTAGAAAATCATGCTTTAGTAGTGACTGATAATAATATTATAGGGCTGAGAAGTTTCAACTTGTATAGGGAAAAATGTTACGCTTTTTATGATAAAAATAATGTTGTCAAGTAAAGAAGAAAACCTCTTTTAATTTCATGTACCTATAAACATTATAGAGTTTTAAAATTAACCAATTTCCCTTTTTTCTTCTACTGTTTTTAGATGTTCTTGGCAGCCCTTTCCTTCAGCTATATTGCTAAAACACTAGGTGGAATCATTATGAAAATTTCCATTACTCAAATAGAAAGGAGATTTGAAATATCGTCTTCTCTTGCTGGTTTAATTGATGGAAGCTTTGAAATTGGTAACTTTTTTTTTCTATTTTGATAACCATACTTGCATAAGTTAAAAAAAAAAAAGTTCATGCATGCTTTATATCACTGGCTCTGAACTAGGCATAAATTTGTCTCCCATGGGCAATTTGGCAATATGTGAGGACATTTTTGGTTGGCATAAATGGGTTGGGGCAGAGAGGATGCTACTGGTACCTAGGGGTAGAGGTCAGGGAGGGAGCTAAACATTGTACAATGCACAGGACAGACTTACCAACAAAGAACTATCCTTCCCAAAATGTCTGCAGTGAGGATGTTGAAAAACTCTGATCCTACACAAACTCATAATTTGCAAATAAACTTTTTGGGAAGCTTTATCTCCGTTGTCCCAAGGTGTCCCAGTGTGAAGAAAGGTTGAGGAGGGAGGACTATAATTCTTATGGTTTTAGGTGGGGGGACTGCATAGGAGCAACCTACACTAGATTCTACTGTTTAACTGGATACATAATTGGGGGTTAAAATCTTTTTTTTTTTTTTTAACATTGAAGATATTGCTTTGTTGTCATCATTTTAATTTGGATTTCTCCAACAATAGTGAGGTTTTATACAATTATTAAAAATAGGTTTTTTTCTTATTTTACAAATTGCTAGCTCATAGCCTCTGCTAAATTTCTCTTTTTCTTTTCACTTTCTAATTATTTGGAGGGACCCCCAAATTGTCTATTTTCTACAATATAGACTGCAAAATAAGACTGCAAATATTTTCTGCAATTTCTGTTTCTATTTTACCTCTATTTACATAATGCTTAACTAGTGACTAAAATGTAATTGTCAAAGGAAGATTTATCTCTTTATGTGAATTCAGAATCTTTGTGATTCAAAAATATGACACTCTACATGTCCTTCACTTTTTCACCTCCCAGGCTCAATGAAATAATCTAGAATTTTAAAATTAGAATGCTATTAGTTTTAAAGTTTAATTCATTGTATGTCTCTTTTTATTAAGAAATTAATACTTCATATCTTTGTTAAACTTTTCAGCTATTTAACAGCAATTTAAGTTTGGTTTCTTTTCTTACACCTGTTACTTGAATCTTGTGACTTCAAATCTCATCTTTATTCTTTCTGGAGTATACCTTCATGTATAGATGACCTTTTGCATCCACAGGCTCCACACCCACAGATGCAAGCCATATTAAAAAATTTAAAACTAAAAAATGTCCACATAATAATAAAGATGATACAAATAAAAACAACATGGAATAACAACTATTTACATAATATTTACCTTGTATTAAGTATTAGAAGTTATCTAGAGATAATATAAAGGAAACAGGAGGATGTTGATAGGTTATATGCAATACTATACCTTTTGTTTATTTGTTTGTTTTTGTTTTTTGAGGCAGAGTTTCCCTCTGTTGCCCAGGCTGGAGTGCAGTGCTCTGATGTTGACTCACAGCAACCTCCGCCTCCTGGGTTTAAGCCTCAGCCTCCTGAGTAGCTGGGATTAAAGGCATGTGTCACCATATCTGGCTAATTTTTGTGTTAAATAGAAATGGGTTTTCGCCATTTGGCTAGGCTTATCTTGAACTCCTAGCCTCAAGCGATCAGCCAGTCTCGGCCTCTCAGATTGCTGGGATTACAGACGTGAGCCTCCACATCCACACTATACTACACCTATTTACTTAGGGGCTCGAGCATCCACAAATTTTGGTATCTACAGAGTGTCCTAGAACCAATAACCCATGGACGCTGAGGGTTGATGTAATTTTTTTTTTTTTTAGGAAGAATTGAAAACATGGCATATTTTCTAAGCCCTTACTTGTTGGAAAATGCTTTTATTTTGGTATTATATTTAATTGATACTTTGTCTGAGTATGGAATTAAAATTTCAAAATACTTTTTTCTCAAAAATTTAAAATATTCATCTACTGTTTTATAACATTCAATGTTGTATATAAGAAATTATAACCATTGTAATTTTCATGCACTGTTTATCTCTAAATATCCAAAAATTTACTAGCATGTATCTGAGACTGTCTCTTTCTACTTTACTTCTGCTGGGCAAATATAGGAACTTTCGTTTGAAACCTATGTCTTCCTCTAGCACAAAGAATTTATTTTCTGTTTCCTATTTGTTTCTTCCTGTATTTTATTCTTTCTTTTCTTCTGAAACATATATGTGATAAATAATATATTTTCTGAATATTTTTCCTTTTAAATTTTGTTATTCTAAATTTCTAACCCTTTTCTTTATGTTTCATCAATCTTCTTTGGTGTCTGATGTCATCTTATTATATCAAGTTCTAATTTATAAATTTTTAATTGTATTTTAAATTTATAATAGTACTTTATTGTTGTCTTATTATTTTTAGTCTATCAGTTCCAATGTTATGGATGCAACATGCCACTGTACCTCCAAATATACTAACAGGATTTTTTTTAAGTTTCTACTCTTTTTAGTTTAATCTTATTGAAGTATTTATTCTTGTGTTGCTTTATCTGCTGGTTCATTATGGTGCTTTCTTTAATAAAACTACTCTCCATCAATGTTCAATAATTCTTTATTGTTGTCTGTTTATTATTGTATATCAGGCTGTAGATAAATCTGAATTGGTCTTCTCTGAATGCTCTTCTTCCACTTTTTAATCTAAATGATGTATACTCAATATTAAATCTCAAATAATGTCTCCTCCAGGAAACTTTCACAAAGTCCCTAATTAATTTAAGCTTCCTATTTCCATAATCTAATAGTACTTCCATCCATTTGTTTTATTTTATTACTAGCGTGTTTCTAGAGAACAAGTACCATGATTTGTTCTTATATTTCTGACTCTAAACACTGTGGAGAGGTACATAGTACAAATTTAAAGAATGCCTGGAATAAATCTAAGAAATGCGTGAATGACGATCTTTCCCTCAGATTAGGAAGACATTTTTCCATTCCAATGCAATCCAGTAAACTCCAAATTTTCATTAAAATTTTGCTTCTCTCATATGGCCAAATTACCCAAGTGGTTTATTTGCATATAAAACCTATTCTACTTATCATTAATACCATACAACTTTTCAGTGAGTCATTTAATGTAGGAGAGTTCACCTTCACAATTAAATTACATGGTCTTTGAGAGAAGGTACGATGTCTTGGGCTTTATTTGCATTCATTCATTCAATTCTACTAAATACAGAATTAAACTAAGTCATATCTACATAATTTTGTTCTCTTTCTAGGAAATTTGCTTGTGATTGTATTTGTAAGTTACTTCGGATCTAAACTACACAGACCAAAGTTAATTGGAATTGGTTGTTTCCTTATGGGAACTGGAAGTATTCTGACAGCTTTACCACATTTCTTCATGGGATAGTAAGTGTTAAATAGCACTGAGTCATTCATCATAAGCAACTTGTAAATTAGCAGTAGAATTTATTTTTATACTTTTAAGTAGGCAGTATTCTTTTGAGAAGAATACCCACTCAGTATGTATAGAAATGGAGTATATTTACTATATAATAGTGAATGTGTTGCTTTATTCATCATGGCTTTTATAAAGGTTGAAATAAGAATAATATTACATAAGGTATACAGTTTTATGTGAAATAAATAAGTTATTTACCAATTTTAATAAACATATGTACTTTATGTTTTTACCTGTAAGATTTTGATTGTATTCAATAAGACTTCACAACTTCACCTCCTGCTGTGTAGGTTTTCCTACCAGCCTTTCACTGAAGCTCTTCTTCCTAAGGTAACTATGTAGTTATGATTAGAGTAAGATGCTCATATGAGAAAACTGAAAATAGCGAAATAAGATAGAAGATTTTACATAAAAGTTAATGCGTCCCATCCAGGGATGATATGATTCTACTTTTCATCATAGTGCTGTGCCTTGCATGGCCTTGTATTCATAGTACAAATAGTGGCAATGTATTTCCAGGCAACATGGTAGAAGGAGAGAAGAACAAGAACAAAGAGTGCACACAGGCTGAGACCAAGGAGCATTTTCAGAAGCAGAACACTTCCACTGATTTCACATTTACCAGGAGTCGGTTACATTTTACACATAGAAACATGGGTGTTGAAAAAAATATACTTTATTCCAAGCTTCCATATTCCAGGTAAAAAGCCCAACTTCTTTTACTATGGAAGGAGAAAAGAAAGGATACTGAGAGACAATGAGCAGTCCCTGTTAGAGACACCAGTTATTTATTGCCAAATCCAGAAATCATGCCTTTCGGTCACTATATTAATTCTGTTTTCCCTCCTGCATTTGGCCCTTATAAGAACTTTCTTCTTAATGGTACTGCTCTAATACTCCTCATATTCCACAATCTTGATTCATTTTTCTATCTTTGTGGCTTCTTCATCATGCCTATCCTTTTTATTTGCCTCTAACACCGTAAATTCAATGTCCCATAATTCTCTCTAATCTTCTTAATATCTTACTCTTCATGGATTTTTATGGAGAATGTGCCTTCGATGCAACTACCCCAGCTTTATCTTTCATTGCTCCCCACATTTGAGAGCTACATTCTAGGCTTACAGTTCTCTTACGTGCCATAATATGTCATATCTTTGCATCTGTTATTTCTACAGACTTGAATACTTTTCTTCCCTTGTCTACCAATTAAAATTCTATCCATCTTTGGTCATTTAATCTGTCCTTCACATTGTAGAGTCTTCTTTGATCTACCCCCTCACCTCCAAGCAAAATTGATTATCTCTTTTTTTTTTTTTTTGTGGGTGTGTGACAACTCAGGACCTTGTATATTAAATTTAGGATATCTTTGATCATATACATTTATCTTAGAGAGTGTGAAATTTCCAAAGTACGAACACTGTGTATCTTATTTCTTGATCTTTATGTTTTGTGTCTTGTTCTTTGAAGTTGAGCAAAATGCCTGACACACTATATGTTGCCCTTAGAGCTCACGGGGCACTTAGTATTATTGAGCATCAGCATCTGTCCCTAATCCGGCTCCACCTCTGTTGTTCTTTTAAAGTTTTTCCCCATAAAGTTGAAATGGATTAGATATTTGTTTTTATTGAGTTTTGAAAAGTCAAGCACTAGTGTGTGTTTACGTGTGTGTCTACATGAAAGAAAATCAGACAGATTGACTATCTTTGATGGTAACTCAAAGGGATAAATAGACATAGTTAACAGATTTTTTTAAAAAAAGCAAGTGAAACCAGGATATTTCATACCTTGACCAGCATATAACCACTCCTAAGATAATAGCAAGATGATAACCCACCCTGTTCATGGTGTATTGAATTACCTTTCTTAGTGGACACTCCCATTTCACTCTTTCTCATTACCTGTTTTGAAATACACTCTGAAAAGTTGACAAAGAAGATTCTGGTAATTTGGAGAGGACAGTGGTTCAAATAAAGGGGAAAATTTCTGTGTATCTCTGGGAAAACTGAAAATATTCAGTAGATAAGCAAAATGTTCAACCTAATGTTGCTCTTATAGTTACAGGTATTCTAAAGAAACCCATATTAATCTGTCAGAAAATTCAACATCAAGTTTATCAACCTGTTTAATTAATCAAACCTTATTACTCAATAGAACATCATCTGAGAGAGTAGAAAAAGGTAAGAATTAATAGTGACATTAAAAAAAATTCTAGAATTCATAGATATAATCACATCTATAAAATTTGTGATATTATTTAGCAAAACTGATTTAAGAACAAATTGGAAGGACTTTATCCCTTACACACAGACAAAATCATACTGTTAGTATATGCAGTTGATTCTTGAATGACACCAGTTTGAACTGTACCTGTTCACTTATATGCAGCTTTTTCCAACCAAACAGAAGGAGAAACCCACCCATGTGGCGGTCTGACTTCTATAGGTGGTTTCCACAGGTCCAACCACAGGACTTAAGTCTACATGATTTTGTGCACACATGAGTTGTCCTGGCACAAATCTGCTAGTATACCAATGGATTATTATGTATAAAGAGCATTTAGAAGTAGATAAGAAAAAAGAAAAAAATTAGAAGGAAATTTGCAAAGAACATACACATTTAAAATAAAAAAGCTGAAAGTGGCAGAAATAAGTGAATAATATAACTTTTTATAAAAAGGCAAAATGTTATAGCATTTGAAGATTTTGTCACTATTTTTTTGAGACAGAGTCCCACTCTGTCACCCAGGCTGGAGTGCAGTGGCGTAATCTTGGCTCACTGCAACCTCTGGCTCCTGGGTTCACATGATTCTCCTACCTTAGCCTCCTGAGTAGCTGTGATTACAGGCCTGTGCCACTACACCTGGCTAATTTTTGTATTTTTAGTAGAGACAAGGTTTCATCATGTTGGTCAGGCTAGTCTTGAACTCCTGACTTCATAATCTGCCCACCTCGGTCTCCCAAAGTGCTGAGATTACAGGCATGAGCCACTGCGCCCAGCCAATTTTGTAACTATTATAACACAATAATATAATTACAACCTCAATATTTAATACAAGTAAATGAAGTGAAGAAAAAAAAGATTTCAAGTTTTATGTATTGTTGGGAGTGTATAAATTTGAGTCTTCTGGAGATTAACTTTTAATCTATATTAAAGTACAAAAATATACTTGCTTACTTTCTTGATTAACATTAAGGAAATATTCAGGAATGTTTACTAGGCTGTTTACTTTTTTACAATCACAGCCATAGCATTCATGTTCAACAAAATAAAAATAAAAAATATTTTGTAACTACAAAAGAGATTGTTTAAACAAATTATGAGACTGTTATTCAACACACTGCTGTGCAGTAATTAAAATTTTAATATAGAAGAACTCTTAACAACATGGGGAAATTGTGACAATATAGTGAAAACTGTATATGTACCTTAAAAATAACCTTGATTTTTAAATATGTAATGTACATAATGAATATTATTCATATTTTGTGCCCTAAAAATGTAGAAGAGATCCAGAATAACATTTGCAATGGTCTTCTGTGTGTAGTATGATTATAGAACATTTTTGTTTTCTTTGTTCCCTTCCTTATTTTCAAACTTTGCAAAGTGAATTTGAATCACTTGTAATTAGAAAATAAACAAACCAAAAATGCAAAAATGAAGGGTTTAAAGCAGATAAGTTTCTAATATGAATGTTAAAATAAATGTTGAAAGTAAAACACTTTCTTGTCTCTATAGATTGTGTGAAGGAATCTGGGTCACACATGTGGATGTATGTCTTCACGGGTAATATGCTTCGCGGTATAGGGGAAACCCCTATAGTACCTTTGGGGATTTCTTACATTGATGATTTTGCAAAAGAAGGACATTCTTCCTTGTATGTAGGTAATGTACAGAAAATATTAAATTGCATGATTACATTCCTTGGATCTATCCTTGAAATAATAGTGTCATTAGTTTATTCTTTTACCTATTAGAAAAAATATTTGCAGAGGTGTATTGTGTAATATTACTTTTAAAAACATGTTGCGAAATATTTGTGGCATCTGATTAAATTGTTTTATTTGGTAATACTTACAGGTATTTTGAATGCAATAGGAATGATTGGTCCAATCATTGGCTTTACAATGGGATCTCTGTTTGCTAAAATGTATGTGGATATTGGATATGTAGATCTGAGTAAGTACTAATCGATCAAGGTACCATGGTAGTGTCTTTTAAGTGTAGGACACCATTCTTCCAAAGAATTGAATTCAGCCTTTCAATAGTTCTTTGTTTATTATTTTTTAAAATTACAGAATCTGATTATTAATTATTCTGCATTAATAATCAGAATAAAAAAGAAATCTATCTCCTATTTATACTTTGCTTTTACAACTAAGTGTAAAAAGAGGTTTTTAACAAACTGATTTCAGATTACTTGATCCAAAATAACCAAACTTAAAATGTCCGTCTCCCAAAACTGACTTCCCAGTCAGGTACATTTTATTTTTCAGTTGATGGTGACTTGGGTGTTGATGTGTGGAACTCAGATGTTGATGTTTGCTTTGCTAAAGCCTCCTTGTGGCTACTGCCTTGACTTATGGCAGGGGTGGTTTAAAAGATACCACTGTCAACTTTGGTTATGGTCATTTTTCCTGTTCCTCACTGAGGGCTTGGCATATGGCAACATTTAATAAGTGCTTGTAAAACAAATGAATGAAGAGAGGGCACGTAAATAAAATTTGTGACTTTCGTCTTCACTCTTAGAGCATGCCTTGTTTCTTCTCTCATAGAAGAATGAGAGCCCATGTTGTAATATCTGCCTTGACTTCAGGCCCTTCTTCCTACAGATATACCTTCACTATATCCGTATTTATCTTTTTTTACTCATACTTATAAAAAAGCGTTTATCTTTAGCTAATATTAGTAGATCCAACTGGGGTTTAGATTTCCTCTTCTCCGCTCTTTTCCTCAGCAAACACACTCAAGACTCTCCCATCTTCTTACACATATACATTTTTATATTCCAAACAACTTTCCAATTGATTAACTGTTTCTCAGTTTATCTTCAAAACCAAGTACCTAGAAAAAAATCTCTAGCATAAGTGTCTCACCTTCTTACCTCCCATGTACTTCTCATCCACTATAATCTGCTTTACCACTAATAAAACACTATTTCTATGTAATTTACTAATTGTAATGGATGTTTTTCTATAATTTGTTTTAATAGATATTTATACTACTTGTTCATTTTTTCTTGGATTTTTAAAAAAATAAGTACCTAAAACTCAACCTGTCAAATGCTGTTCTCATCATATTTCCAAACCCACTTTGTTTCCTATGTTCCCTCTCTTGCTGAATATCTGTATCTTAAGTCAATGATTGACTGAATTATATGCCCTGTAATCTCAGATTTCTCTTTATTTAAAATGGGAAAAACTTTTATCTCATTTTTATTTTTCTAATTCTCAAAGTCTCTTTCAACATGTGGCTTTTCTCATATAGCCCTTACTTCATCATTTCCATTGGTCTCAAATTTGGTGTTCCTATTAACCACAAAGAGCATGTGTTCATCGTAGCCCTTCTCAAAACAATGTATAAATATTTGTGAACTTACCTACCATCCCTTTGAGAACATGACAGAATTGTATCCGTCTTAGCATATAATATAACTCATTAGGGTTTGTGAATAAACAAATATGATTTTCTATCTCACGAAGACATAAATAGATCACTCCAAAGAGGTCAAAGCATTCATTCCAAGATGGAATAGCCATCATTGTAGGCCAAAAATCATGCAGTGTTTTATATTATGAAACTAAAGCAAGTACCTGATGATGTGTTTTATATCTTCCATTTTAGACATGTGATTTAATGTAGCTACACATTATGTATATTATTTTTACTCATTTGCTCCAGTTTAATCACTGCTTTTATCACTGAGTACAGAATAAGTGTTGAAGATCTTTAGGTTAATAGCCTTGTAGTTTCTCTAGTCAGAAATAATCATAGCATTTTAGAATTCTTGGTGATTCAACTTCCACCCCTGACTGTTCAGACCTTAACACATCTTCTCTTATTCTGTGAGAAGCATGAAGTGAACTTGTTATAAAGTATACTTTGGTAAACTTCAACTCCTACAGGAGCCAAAGACATAACATAAATGAGTAAAGTGTATCAGAGACAGGAAATTAGGGGGTGATGATTAGAATGGGGAAAGTTGTTGGTGCACTATTCTCCTCAGATACCCAAAAACTCATGTACTCCCCAGCTCTGGCCTATACTTTTCACACAGAATTTTGGGACCAGCATTAATAAGGTTTTCTGATTGGTTTTCCAGAGATTCCGTAAACCAAAATTTTTATGTAGAATATTCCAATTTTTAAGATGGTGTGTGATCCATGGGAAACACTGGCAGGACCTATCTCACTAGATTATGACCTTTAGTTCCTATATATAGGCCAGTGAAAGAACCAAAAAAAAAAAATCATCAAAATTACATTTCTGACAGGTGATAAATCTTAGCATGTATAATGGATTTACTAACTTAGTCATTTCCTGGCCTGTCTGAGTTGTTGATTATGAAACAACATGATCATATAAATCAATTTTAAAACGAGATCAGTCCATACTAGAAAATAATGTATTTCTAAATAGTTTTAAATCATCAGTATTTTTTCATGTCAGAGATTTTTTTTTTTTATAGATCAGAGTAATGGTATCATTTTAGTGTGCTACAAACTTCTATGCTGTGTGTGTTTCTGTGTGTGTATGCTTTCTTAATTTTTATTATTTTTATTTTATTGTGGTAAGAATAATTGAAATGAACTCTGCCTCCTAAAAGTACAGTTGATCCTTGAACAGCACAGGTCTGAACTGTGCAGGTCCACCTATACATAGATTTTTCAAAAAATGTATTAGAAACATTTTTTAGAGATTTGTGATGACATGAAAAACCTTGCAGATAAACTACACAGCTTAGAAATATCGAAAAATGTTAAGAGAAAGTTGTAGCATGAGTACATAAAATATATGTAAATACTATTTTATAATTTAGTACAATAAAATATGCACAAATCTATTATTAAAATTTAAAATTTGTTAAACTTTAAACAGAGAAACTCTTATAGATCTTACATGATACCCTTCCCAATCAAGAGAAATGAAAACAAAGGTAAAGATACAGTATTAAATCATAACTGCATAAAATTAACTGTAGTGCTTACTTCACTGCTGTAAAAATTCTGCAACCACTGTTATTGCAGTCAGCTCAAGTGTTGAGAGTATTTACTTAAAATGCCATATGTCATTCATCGTCTCCATGTGAGCAGGTTTTCTCTTCAGGAAGTGATGAATTACAATAAAAAGTGAGTTCATCTTTTCTGTGTATTTTTCATCCTGTTTAGTGCTGTAACATCAACCTTAAATAACACTGTGTGAGCCATATGAAGTACCACTACTGATGCTGGAAGTTCTCCCAGAAGCAAAGAAAAGTCATATGATTATAAGAAAAAGTTGAATTGTTTAACATGTACTGTAGATTGAGCTATGCAGCTAGCTGCTGTTTCAATATAAATGTATCCAGTACAAACACCATCGTAAAACAAACAAAAACCCACACTCAGAAAAATGGAACAAGAAGAAGCTTCACTGCAGCTGTAACAGTGGGCACAAAAACCTGTCCTTTTAGTGAAATAGCTTTTTATATATTATTGAAAATTCAACTTTTATGTAGGTGCAAGATTGCTATGGAAAAAGGATACCTGTAGACTCAAACGTGATTCAAGGAAAGATGAAGTCATTACATGACAACTGAAAGCAAAGGAAAGTGACTGATTTAAAGCTGGAGAATTTCATGCCACTAATGGATAAACTGAAAATTTTAGAAAGAGGTTTGCCTCAAAAAAGTGTCAGTATAACAGGAGAAGCTGCTTCTGACACTTAGGAGGTAACAGAAAGTTTTAAATGGCATTAAGAAAGTCATGGAGGAGAAAGGACATCTACCTGAACAGGTTCTTAATCAGACGAAAGTGCCCTATTCTGGAAAAAAATACCACAACATACAATTATTTTAAGGAAGATAAGTGAGCAACAGGACTTAAGGCAGGAAGGGATAGGCTAACTCTGTCTGATGTTCTGTGCAAATGCAGTGGCATTTATGATTAGAACTGTTCTTACGTACACAACTGCTAATCCCTAAGCCTTGAAGAGGAAAGATAAAAAAACAGTTGTTAGTCTTTTGGTGGTCTGACAAGAAGGCCTGAACAATAGGAACTTTTTTTTCTGAAAAGTTCTGTCAGTTTCCTTCCATGCTTTGTTTCTGAAGACATGAAGTACCTTGGCAGAAAGGGTTTGCCTTTTAAAGTCCTTTTGATAATAAGCAACACTCTTGGTCATCCAGAACCTCGTGAGTTGAATACTGAAGGTGCTGAAGTGGCCTACTTTACCCCAAATGCAATGTCTCTAATTCAGCCTCTAGATGTGGGTTCCTAAGGACATTTAAGGCTCATCACACATGTTACACTATAGAAAGCACTGTCAATACTGTGGAAGAGAACCCCAACAGAGAGAACATTATAAAAGCCTGAAAGAATTACACCATTAAAGTTGCCATCTTTGTTATAGAAAAAGCTACAAAAGCTGTCAAGCAGGAAACAAATTTCTGCTGGAGAAAACAGTCCAAATGTTGTGCAAAACTTCATGGGATTCATAACATGGCCATTCAATAATATTATGAAGAGATTGTGAATATAGCACACACAAAAAAAAGGCTTGGAGTGAAAAATTCCAGGTTATGGAACTTGGAGACATTCAAGAGCTAACAGGCACCACATCAGCAAAAGACAACTTGATGGAGATGAGTGCTTCTGAACCAATGTCAGATAAGGAAGAAGATACAGAAGAAGCAGTGACAGAAACAAATTGACATTAGACAATCTGGCAGAAGTGTTCCGATTATTCAAGATTGTTTTGACATCTTTTCAACATGGAACCTTCTGTAATGTGGGTACTGAAGTGAAAGCAAACAGTAGAAGAAGGATTGGTACCATGTAGAAACATTTGTAGAGAAATGGTAAAGCAACAAAGTCAAATAGAAATTATGCTGTATTTCTGTAAAGCTCCCATCTTCCTTTTTACTTTTTCCGCTGCCTCTGCCTCTACTACCCTAGAGAAAGCAAGAACAATACCTCCCCTTC